ACTCCCAGGCGCAGGTCTCCTTCCCAAGGGCGTGTGAGGACGTTCCTCGGGCCCTCTGTCCCTGGGGGCTGTCCCCAGAGGGCCCGAGGGATCATTTCTCCTGCAAAGCCATCGCAGCCGCGTCTGCGGGGTCTCCCATGGCGATTGGTCCACTTGGGACGTCTAGGTCTTCTTACGCAAGGATGTTGCGTGCGTCCCTGTGCGTGTATCCGCCTCCCCCAGCCGTTGTGCAGTGGTCCCAAAGCCGCTCGCGTGTAGAAGAAAGCGCACTTGCCATGTTGACCGCGGCCCTTTTTGTGACTGGCAGTGCCCATCCTGGCACTGCTCCTGCTCAGCCCCCAGTGGCAAGGGGACGCACCTGACACCGCACAGTGTCCGTGCTGACCCGTGATGCCCAAGGCCGCGGCACTGCGTGCTTTCCCACTCAGGATGCTTCAGCTTGGGACAGCAGTAGAGGTAAGTGTCTCATTCCTCTGGAGCTTGAGCCTCGTGACCTCTCATTCCCTCTAACGCCCACTCCACTGTCTTTGCCCTCAGGTCTGGCGCCCGCAGTCCTTTGCCTGCGTGGTGGCCAAACCCCTGATGCTTCTTTGTCTGTCTTGTGCCCACTGTTGATGCCTCCTGGGTTTTCTGTGTTTGTGGTTTCTGTTTCCTCTTTCTAACTCACGAAGTTTTTGGAGGCAAGTTTTTCAGTCTCAGTGGCTCAGGCTCTTTGGCTTTTCCCCCAACATTCATTGCTGGTTTTATTGCACGGTCAGGGGATGGACTGTGGGCCGCGGCCACTGCCTGGCATGTGTCGTGGGCTCCTTCTTGGCCCTGGCAAGTGTTTCCTTTTGTGGATGGCTGGGAGCCATGGGAAGAGCGTGGCATTTTTATGTGCCGATTCCAGTCCTGATGTGAAACTGTACTACTCAGTCTTTTGCTCCTCGTTTACGTTAGGCACACACACTCGGGATCTGTCTGTGCCCTGTCGCTGTGCCCCGTGTGCGGGCGACAAGAGGGGCACTCGCTCGGGATGCCCTGCCAGTCACAGCTGCACAGGACTCTGACAGTGGGGCCTTCCCCGCCCCACTGGTCGCTTTATAATTGTGGGAAAGTTCACAGAACAAGACATAGCAACCTTGCCACCCTAAAGGACACGGCTGGCGGTATTAAACACGTTCGCCTCGTCCAGTCATATCTCCGAGCTCTTCTCATCCTGCAGAGCTGAGGCTCCATCCCTGCTAAATGCACACTCCCAGCCCCCGCCCTGCCGGGCAGTGCCCCTGCTGTGGCCCGACTCTGTCATGCAGAATTCCTCCCTTGGCTGATTTCACTCACCATCATCTCCTCAGATTTCAGCCATGGAGCATGAGTCAGAATTTCCTTCCTTTTGAAGGTCAAATTATATTTCTATCCTAGTCTCTTTCGCATTGCTGGGACAAAATCTCCAACACTCACAACCTAAAGCGGGGGGAGAGGTTTATTTGCGTTCGTAGCTTTAGTCCACGGTCAGCTGGCTCCTACGCAGAAACAGGATGGCAGAGGGGCCTGGCAGAGAAAAAGGTGCTCAACCCATGGCAGCCAGGAAGCAGAGGGAGAAGCAGGCAGCCAAGGACAAGAATTCACTCTTCCAGGCTGCACCCCCAGCGACCACCTCCCAGGCCCGCCTCCTGCCCGTGCCTTCAGCTGAGAGCTGCTCCGTGGATGAAGCCACTGGAGAGCAGAGCACCCCATGATCTCGATCACCTTCCACAGAGGAACTTCCTCGCTGTACCGATCCCACTGTGCGGACCGAGCACGTTGGTTTATTCTCCCAGCCATGCTTCCACCTCTTGGCCCTGGGGTGCTGCTGCTGTGGATGTAGGTGTGCAGCTACTGCTTGAGTCCTTGCTTTCCATTCTCCTGGGTGTTTGACCGGAAGTAGGATTGCAGGTCATATGGGGACTCCACGTGCAAGTGTTTGAAGAGCTACTGTACAGTTTCCCAGAGCATCCACGCTACTTCACATCCCCACCAGCAGTCCACAAGACTTCCACACTTGCTCTTTGCTGTTCTCCTCTGGTTTTGGTTTTGTTTTCCAGAGAAGCCATCCCTGATGGGTGTGAGCTGCCACCCACCGCTCGCAGGTGGGATTAGCGTTGTCAGGGATGATGTTGTGGTGGATCATGTTTAGTCCTGTATCTCTGGTGCTCTAGTGTCCACCTCTTGGATGTTCCACTGCGTCACTTAATCCTTTGGCCTGGTTTGGCATCTGGTCTCTCAAGGATTTGAGGGACACATTCAAGTTGTTTGCTTGAGTCCTGAGCCTGCCCTCAGGGCCTGGCCACCTTGATCAGGCCACTTCCTATCCATGCTGCTCCTGATCGGTGAGATGGAGGTGGCATGAGATCACGTGTCCTGGGACCGTCCCAAGGCTTCCTGAGCCCGCACATGGGAGCTGTATGGGGCCTGGCACAGGGTCCGAGCTCGGCGGGTGATCAGTGTATCTGCTATCTTATTTTCGACAGTCTAGTTTTTAATACTTCCAGGGGACTTCCTGTTTTTTCTCTAAGTCTGTATTTTCTCCTCGCCTCTCTAGTACACAATGTGTTTCTAGTTAAACTTGTGTTTTGTTTTATGACCTAAATAAACATTATTTCTTGGCTTATGGAGTTCAGAAATGAATAGGGTCTGTTGACCATGAGTAGGATTCTGGTGAGTGGCTCTTGTGGGAAGAACCAAGGCTGGAGCAGGTTGTGAGGAACCCTTGTGGGCAGTGGGATCTGCCACCAGGTCGTCAATATGAGCAGAGGTGGGCGTCAGGGAGGCCAGGCTGCTCCGGAGAAGGCCTGGGCAGGACCAGTGCATTCTGGTGGGAGTAGGATGACAAGGACATGAGACAGGACCAAGAGTGTGCCCCAGGGAGCCACAGCCAGCCCAGAGCAGGCACCTGGAAGGGGGAGGAGGAGCACAGGGACAGCGGCCAGAAGCCAGGGGTGTGCTGTCTGCAGGGTGGACAGGAGGGTCAGAGGCAAGCGACAGGAAGGAGAATCCCAGTGGCTTCCTGGGGCAAGCAGCAATTGGGGCAGGAAGAGTGGGGACCCTGGGCCGAGGAGGAGCCGTGCCATCCACCCCGGTGCCACTGCCCCCACACAGCTGGCTGGAGGGTGCTGGCGGGTGGGGTGGATGCCCGGCCTCCGCTGGAGAGGTTGGAGGGAGAGATCTGCAAGGAGAACAGAGCGTCTGGGGCGGGGGCCGGCTGCACGCCTGGAGGAGGTGGGCTTTAGCCAGGCCACTGTGGGGAGAGGGCAGCGCAGGCGATGGGGGCACGTGCTGCAGAGACCGCGGGCAGGGAAGCAGGAGGGGCCGTGCAGAGCCCAGGGACTGCACGCAGGTTCGCCACCCGGTACACCTGTGGCGGCCAGGGCGTGGGCTGGGCAGAGGTCCTGTGCCCACCCAGGACCGCCGAGGGTCTGAAGGAGCCCTGCTGAGGAGAACCCTGCTTCCGGGTCCCCACTGCCCCTCTGGGGCCCTGGGCACTTTCAGCCACCAGAAGAGTCCGCTCTGGTCTTGCTGGGTCCTGTGCCCACCTTCGAAATCTCTGGGAGCGGCACACTGGCTGTGAATAAACAGATGCCTGCCGGGGCCTCTGCACTGTGGGTTATAAAATGTGCACAAAACCTGGCTGCTTTGACGTGAAGGTGGGTACTAACATCAGTCCAAGTCGCTCACATCCTGTCTCCCTCCTGGGGTCTCACCAGGTGAGCCTGGCACCGCTCCACACAGGGCTGCCCTGGAGGCCCATGGGGAAGAGGTGGACGGGGCGTGGTCTCAGCTCACGGGGGCTCCTTCGGGCATCACTCATCCACCACGCAAGGGTCAGTGCACAGGGCTTCCGAGCTGGTGCCCGCCCCTCACTGGGCACCGATCAGCATCTCGTGGGACGCTCCTGTGTCTCAGAGCCTCCAGCTGCAGTCAGGTGTGGTGCAGATTCTGCCCGGCTTGCGTGTCTGCCATGCCTGCTGGGCCCAGACCCCGGGCCCAGGCCTCGCTGCGCCACCCAGGCTTGTGGGGTGCCTTCCTTTCCCCCGCCCAGCTGTGCTCAGCACCTCAGGTAGTGCAGCTCTGCGGAAGTCCTGTCCTGACACACACTGGGCGGAAGGCTCCCCGGGCCGAGGGCGGCAGAGCAGGGTCCCACGGTGGGGAGTGGCAGGTGCTGGCCCCCCCAGGCAGTTCCCAGCACACCCCTGGCCTCTCCTCCTCTGGTGGGGCTGCCCAAGGGGCACAGTGTGCCCAGCATAGGTAGCCAGGCTCTGAACAGGGACTGTGAGGCCCTCACCCCAGCTGCCCCCAGATGGGCTGTGCGGCCTGGGCCTGGTGCACAGGGGCAGAGCCCAAGGCCCTCTTGCCAACCGTGTCCACCGAGCCAGTGGTGCGCTCTGGCAGGAGGGGATTTTGACCTCCTGCGATGCACCAGTTCACAGGTCCTCTGATCGCGTGTGTTCACCAAGGTCAGAGGGCAGAACTCGGCTCGTTTGCCAGCTTAGGTTATAACCAGCAAATGCCCGGCCACTGGCCCGGCAGAGCGGGCCCAGGATCCCCTCCTTCATCGCTGCCTGGGACGGGGATGGTTCCCTCCCAGACTCGAGGGAGCCGCTTGGTGGCCTTGTGGCTTAGCAGTCGGGTGCAGAGGCTGCGACCTGGGCTGGGTCCCAGCAGGTTTTTCTCCCCACCGTGGTCTCCATGTCTGAAGGTGAAGGGAGAGCAGCCAGGGCCCGGTGTGGAGATGCCGGCGCCTGTGGCCATCGTGACAGTTTCAGGTCATCACCAGTAGCAGAAGTACGACCAGGGCATCCTGGCAGGGCCTTGGCAGAGACTCAGGGATGGGGAGCCCCGCCTGGAGCTCTGGAAGCCCGTTGGGGACTGCCCCAAGGCCCTGTCCTCCTGGCGCTCACAGGCGGCTCCAGGGTGGGCAGGCTGGGCCTAGGGGCCAGAAGGGAGGAGGCAGGCAGGGGACGCCCCGCTCCTCTCTGTTGCAGCCCATCAGCTCTCCCTGGTCACCACCTGCCAGGACGCCCGCTACGGTGCCCGACTCAAGGAGACCTGCCTCATCCGCTTCCAGCAGGACATGGAGGCCATGGGGAGGACCCTGTGGTGTGACTGGGGCAAGACCTCTGGGTGAGTCCTGAAACCCGGGAGGGCGGGACGTGGCCACCTGGGTGCTGTGGCAGCAAGTGAGCGTGGCCTGGATGACAACACAGGTGGCCTGGGGGTCTGGAACAGCGAGAAATAGGGGGTCCGAGTAGGCTGGGGACACCCAGGGCCATCCCAGTACAGGTGTCTGGGGACAGCTGAGTCCACCCCATGACAGAGAGGTTCCCGTGGCCAGGCCAAGGCTGACGACTCCTGCGGGGCTCAGAGCTGTGAGCCAGGTCGCTCCTGGAGTGGTGGCCGAGGCCCAGCTGAGCCCTGACCATCCTGCCAGGCCCCCCTGCCCGAAGTGCCGTCTTCCACTTTCAGGGCTCCCTGCTGGCTCCAGGGCCCAGGATCCTCCCCACTGGGCCAGGCTCCTCCACCTTGGAGATGACTTTCTAAGCCCCGCTGCCACTTCAGTGTGGAGGCCCAGTGGCAGGGTCCCCGGGCAGGGTCTGTGTGCGGGACCACAGCACACAACACAGAGCAGGTGCGCAGTCCTGGTGCCCAAGGCGAGAGAGGACCGGAGGCCCTGGGGATGGCAGTGGGAGCCAGGCCAGGGAGGGTGGCCGAGGGGCCTCCTCGGGGAAGTGGGCCAGTGTCACCACAAAGCACACACTTGGCTTCATGCCTCCCTGGGGTCTAGAACTCGCCTAGCTCCTGGCAGGCGCTGGGCAAGCTCTGTGGGTAAACGCCCCTCCCCAGGGGGCGCAGGTTGGAGGGGCATGGGGTGAGGGTACTGAGTCTCCCACATGCGGGGTCCGGGAGGTGAGGCCACGTGGCACTGCTGAGCCTGGGTTCTGGCCTCTCCCTGCCCACAGAGCCCAGCCTCTGCAGTGGCCCACGCTCTCCCTGAGCAGGTGGACAAGCACCCACTGTCCACCCCTCCAGCCGTCTTGTTCATCTCGGGGGTCCGCTGCTCCCAGCAGTCCGCTCAGTGCACAGCTATGGAAGTGAATCTCTACCTCGGGAATGAAGTCGGGCAGGCACAGTGCTGCCAGGGTGCAGGGCTGCAGTTGATTCCTCAGACCCCAGCTGCACACCCTCTGCTCCAGCTCAGGGTGCAGAGCAGCCTTGAGAGATGCGGCTGAAGCCCAGGCCCCACAGCTGGGGACCCAGGACCCCTGACGGGACATAGTCCCAGAGATCTCGTGGAACCCACCTAGGCCCTCACCCTCGTCTTGATGTGCTGCACCCCAGGCCTCTTCGAAGCCACAGATCTCATGTTCTGAGCTAGTAGAGTGCTGGAAATGAAGAGGGAACAGGTTGTGAAAAACAACAGAACAGCCTGTTCTTCAAGCTAATTGGCCTTGTGCCTCGGCTGAGGAGTTTGTACTTACATTAAAGGGTGCGTTTATTGCAGCCCAGGGAAAAGCAGCAGGGCCCTGGGGAAGCACAGGCCGCCTCTCTGGTGTGGTGATCATTGATTTGTGCACGTTTTTGGAAGCTGCGGTGATAGAGGGAGCTTTGCAGCCCTGCAGGCACTTCCGGGAGTGAGGGTCAGCTGTCATCCACAGGGCTCATACACCAGGGTTGGACTCACAGAAGCAGGAGAGCCCCTAAGAGCAGTGCACCTTGAGAGAAAATCAGAACTTAGGGACCAGGCAGGGCTGGTCCCATGGCACCCGGCAAGTCAGCCTGCCGGCCCTGAGGCCCCAGAGATGCCCGCATCCTATCCTGGCCCCCGAGAGCCCGCTGCCTTGTACAGTGGAGGGGGCTAAGCTTCAGGGGGCCCTGCAGGCGCCAGGCAGGTGGCTCTGACACAGGAGCTTGTTCTGGACTCCCGATGTCTCGGCCCTGCACTCAGCCCGACACTGTACTGTGTCCTCGCCATGCACCTGGCCTGGTTTGAACCTGTTCTTTCCGGCACCATGAGATGTCCCAGGCCTCTTCCTGCCGCAGCCCTCAGCCAGCCGTTTCTCCTGGGGCCCCCAGCTGCTTCTGCGACCTAATGGAATTTAGGAGCCAAGATGTAGATAGTCGCATCGCACACACCCGGAATTTGGCCATGGGCCCGAAGAAGGGTCCACCCCTCTCTAACCGCAGTCCTGGGAATGGCGGAGGCACAATATTCACTTCAAGAGCTGGCTCCCATGATGGTGAGGGCCGGTGGGTGCCATGACAGAAAGGGCCGGCAGGCTAAGGACTGCAGGTCAACTGGCTGAAGATATCCCCCAGTCTCCACAGCTCCCAGAGCCATGTTCCAGGGAGCAGGGGGGTCCCAGAACACAGCCAAGTTGACACAAGACCAAGTGTCACAGCCAGGTGTGGGGTGCACACCAGGAATCCCAGCACTCTGGAGGCTGAGGCAGGAGGATCACAAGTTCCAGCCCCGCCTGGGCACCTTAGTGACTTAGGGAGACCCTGCCTCAAATTAAGAAAGACGCAGCCCCAGGCGAGGGCACCTGCAGTGCGGTCGGGCAGGTAGCACCCTGCCAGCCCCCAGTACCTGGGGGCAGCCTTGTCAGCCTGTCTGCATTTCCCCCGTTACTAATGGATATGAGCATCGTTCACATGTCGAAGGGCTCTTCTTCTATCTTTTTGTGAATTGTTCATATTTCTCCCATTTTTTATCACATTTCTGGGATTTTTCAAGAGCTTCTTTTATGTTAAAAAGACATGGAGAGAGGGCCAGGGATTTAGCTCAGTAGTTCTGCCACCTGCCTGGCAACCACAAGGTCCTGAGTTCGATCCCCAGTATCAAAAGAAAAAGACGTGAGGCCTTTTTCTCTAATATTCACTGTTAGATATTTTCTCCTGGCTTGTCAGGCATCTTCTGACTTTTATTGCAACTTTTTTTTTCTTTTTTTGGTGTTGAAGCTTGAACCCAGGGCCTTCACACTGAGCTATATCCTCATCCCTGTTTTTACTTTTAGTTTTTGAAACAGGGTTTCTCTAAGTCACTAAGGTGCCCAGGCTGGGCTGGAATTTGTGATCCTCCTGCCTCACCCTCCCAGAGTGCTGGGATTCTAAGTGAGGACTCCACACCTGGCTCAGTGTTTTTACTGCAGATGTAATCACACCTGGCCTCGGGGCCTTTGCCCCACACAGGCCTAAGGAGGGCTCGCTGTGCTCTTCCTGGCCTGCACAGCTCAGCGGCTGTGCCCGAGCTCGATCTGGCTGAGCGTGGACGAGACACCCGTCTCATGTACTGAAAAGCCCATCTTTGCCCCCAGCGACTTCATCCTGTCACAGAGCCAGCCCCTTGCTCTCTGCCCGGCCTCCTGCAGGTTGCCCTCCCACACCTCTGCCCACTCTGTACTCCTGGTTCCCCCTCCAGAGCCTCCACGGACACCGTCGTTCCTCCCCCACCCCAGGGTGGATCAAAGCTGGCCTTTGCTGAGCACTCAGTGTGTGATAGGCTTTGTGGGCGCTGCTTGATAGCCACCTCGTGACGTGAGCAGTGACCTGGGGACGGCAGAGGGGCTCCCGTTTCCTGCTGTGTCTCAGGCACGTGGCTGCTCACACCAGCTCCGTCCTGGCGCCTGGGGAGGTGCAGAGCACCTGCCTTCATGTGGGAGGCCACGTCCACGTGCACTGAGGGACCACACCTGGCACCTGGGCCCCCTGAGCAGGGCGTCTGGGCAGGACGAGCTGGTCCAGATAACTGGGCAGGAGAAGAGGACAGTGGGGGCAGAGGGCCAGGCCGTGTGTGGCAGGGAGCCGTCACCAGTCGAGGTTGTGAAGCGCGGTGTCTCATGGGAGTGGGCTCCGAGATGAGGCCGGACCCGGGTGAGCCTCAGTTTCCCCCATCCCAAGCAGTGCCGAGAGCCAGGCTGCAGGACTGGGCCAGGTTGGTGATGGGGCGGAGGACTCGGGCACTGGGAAGGGCCCCTCTGCCAGCCAAGTGTCACTGAGGGTCGCCACTGGGACGAAGGCGAAATCCAGCAAGCTCAGCCGGGCAGCCCCTGGGGTTGGGTGTCCGGGACAAGGCAGTGGCCTCAGTACCAGAGCAACCAAATGTGGGCCGCCCAAGGTCACCATTGTGCCGGAGCCCGGCCAGGCCTGCAAGTGGCTCTGGAGGAGGCAGAGGGACAGCTTCCAAACCTCTAAAACTGGAGAAGACTCCAGTTTCACAGCAGCTGCATGTGGAAGGGACTCACCTTCCACAAGTGATGGGGACAGATGTGAGCGCAGCCTTTTGTAGAACACAGAACACAGGGGAGCCCTGGGGACACTGGTGCCAGACAGCTCCCAGTGGCCAGCCTGGCGGCCTGAGTCTCGGGTCCAAGCAGACATCGAGGGGGCCCTGGTCCGGGGAATGGGGTTATTTAAAAGCTGCCTAGCGGGCTGGGTGGAGCTCAAGGGGAGAACAAGCACCTGCCTAGCTCACACCAGGCCATGGGCTTCATCCCCAGCACCACAGGTGTCCCTGCTCGGAGGAGGATCCCAGGTGAAGCCCGGGCTGTTTTCAGCATTGGGGCCCCTTCTGGCCAGAGGGCCGTGGGTGTTCTTGTGTCCCTGGCCTCGGACCCTGGCCTGCTCAGATCGTGCAGCTCCAAGATGCAGAAAGCAGTGAGCGCTTGGCCCTAACTGCCAGTTCCCCAGGGCTCTCTGCCAGCTCTTGACCTTGCCCGGCCGGCCGGCCCCAGGTGACCTTCCACTCCCTCAAATGTCAGGGGAGTCCCCGGGTCAGCAGAAGGTTATCTCATCACACTCCCCTCCGGTAGCAGGGTCTCCAGCACTCCGAGATGCTGGAGGAAGTCGCAGCTTGTTTCTTTTTAACTTCAGCTTCTAGCTGATACATCAAAACAGGGAAATGGATGTTTGATGCGCAGATACACTGCAGGGTTTAATTCAGGTGAGTGTCTGTCTTAGATGTTTATGGTGAAAACAGCTCCTTTGCCCCATCCTTCCCCGGCCTCGGCTCCCATCCAGCCCTGACTCGGGGCCCAGCCCGAGGCCTTTCCCAGCAGCCTCAGCCTCTCAACCCTGCTCCCCTCTGTCTCTGAGATCCCGCTGTGGACTCCAAGCGACGATGTCAC